TCTGCTGCTGCACCCACGGGTTCCTGCAGCCTTGGGTCCCTGCTGTCTTGCTAAAAGGGGAGTCAGAGGCTGGATTTTGGGGATGCTTTTGCTCCTGAAAGTGAAGCACAGGACTTGCAGGGGGACACAGTCATCCCCTCGGCAGACATCTGCCCCGGGTCAAGCAAACAGGGCTGTTCCCACCTCAGGAGCTCAAGCAGAGCAGAGGTGACTTGTCCCTGTGTCCCAGAGGGACACGGCAGGGACCCCGTGAGCCGGAGTCTGCACCCAGGGAGCTCCATCCTCACGTTTGGCATGTCTGTCCGTCCGCTCTGCTTTCACCCCTTGGCTGCTGATCGGAGGGCGGTTTGCAGGTGCTCGTGGTTCCCAGGCTGCCTTGGGCAGAGGGGCTTGAGCAGGATTCGTGCCAGAGTGGCTCCGTGGCTGCTCTCGTTTCTGCTGTTGGCATATCAGAGCTCGCCCATCAGCGCTGCCCTGGCTGCCACTCGCTGCGTGTTTCAGCTCTCAATAAATACAACTGGTAAATCTATTAATTTTACAGCTGTAATTGATGTACTGCTGTAATTACCTTTTATAACAAGGCAATTAAACGCTATTAAAGATTATTAGCTAATTAAAACTCCTCTATACACACACCCCAACCCCCTCATGTGCACAGATTGGTGGGGGGGGCGGAACTGGAAGCCCATCACATTCAGGGCCTTGCAGGTCAGCACGAGGCATGTCATGATGTGATGGGTTGGGATGCTGGGTGGGGAGATCGGAGTCCCATCCCTGCCTCTGCCACCTCTCTTCTTCCTTGGGCATGTCACTTACTGCCAGGGCTATAAGGGAGGGGGACTGCTGCGTACCCCCCCAACCCAGTGGTTTTTGGCTGTCTGGGATAAGATGGGAAAAAACTTGGAGGCTGGGATCTTCTCTTCTTGGTGATAGAGTGGTCGGGGATGTAGGGTTAACGGTGCTATGTGTTGCTGGCTAGAAGAGAGGGTTGTAAAGGGAAAATCCCCACTTGGTGATGGGGTGTGTCTGCTTTGGAAAGGAAATTGCTGGAGAAACGGCTCCTGCTGGGGCTGGGAACGAGCAGAGAGTGTCGGCTGGGGAGAGAGCTTGGAAGGTGGCTCAGTCCTGGGTTGCCCTGTGCCTGCAAAAGCCGGTGACAAAAGCGGGGCACAGCCTGGGAAGTGAACCCCAGGGTCTTTGGAAAGAGCCCAAAAGAGCTGAAAAGCCATCTGAGCAGCAGGCTGCAGGGCCCCCACCTCGGGCACCGCCTGGCCCGATGGCACGTCCCCGTCCCGCGTCCCTCCGAGCTGGAGCAGCCGGAGGGTGTGGGGGTCCCTGAGGCTGCAGCTCCTCTCACCGCCCCCGGCCCTCAGCGCTGCTGCGCTTCCTCGCAGCCCACGGGTGCACATCTACGTTGGCGTCGCAGCTTTTGCAGGCACCCAATGCTTCCAGGCTTTTTCGCAGAGCTCTGGAAGGCTGAAAGGGGTTTGAAATTCCAGGGACATGACTCCTTTCTGCCTTCTGAGTCACGCCGAGGAAGATACGGCCCACGCCGAGATCCTCTCCTCGAGCCACGCAGCCTCCCCGCCATCCATCGCCCCTCGCCTGTCCCCCTCGCTCTGCTCAGCCTCATCCACGCCGCTCCAGTTCTCTGAGCGCTCGTGGAAACCGCAGGAATTCACGTTTTGGGGGCTGAAGCATTGTGCTGTGCCCTGGCCTGTGGCGTGCCGCGGCCGGGAAGGGAGGTGCAGAGCAGAGCCTGTCCTCCCATCTTGCTTGTGATGCAGCCCGGCTCATCAGGTTTAAATTAAACCCCTTCTGCCTTGCACAAGTGACAGGAGCCTCTTTGCCGGTGGTGAGCCAGCTCACAGCTGTGCTGGTGATGGGCTCCTCTGCTTTCCCGCATCCATGCTGGGTCGGGATCCTCCCGCCCTGGTCCGAAGCAGGGCTGAGGGCATCACCCCTGCAAGTTGCTCGGGGCTGGTGGGGAATTAGGAGCAGAGCAGGGCTGTCTGCACCCAGGAGAAAGGGGGTTTGCATGGGTGCAGTGTGTGTGGGGGGGCATCACTGTCCCATCCCGGACAGGGTCTGCATGGAGCAACTACTGCAAAGGAGCCAGAGTCTGACCCTCTTTACTCCGGGCTGCCAATGCCACCAAGGAGGATTGCGGAGTCCCCGGCCAGCAGACTCCCCCCAGGCCTGCCACACTGTCCTGTAGCCCCCAGCCCAGGGGAAGCCCTCCAGCTCAGCCCCCCCCCAGGTCTGCAAAGCAGGGGACCGAGTGCCGGGGTCCTGTGCATGGCAGATCCGTGGGGAGAGCAAGGAGCCAAGACGTGCCGGGGGGGGCTGCCAGAGCAGGGACAGGCGGTGCCGATGACCCTTAGCTGTGATTTTTAGCTATTGCCCAAGCTTGTCCCTCCCTGCCTTTGCCCCGGCTGCAGTTTCCCACAGTAGGGCAAGGAAGCTTTAACCCTCGTGTCCTTATCCCAGGGAATGCTCTGGACTCCGGACGCTTCTCCTGCTTGGGGAGCACCCGGAGGCAAAGGGCACGAAACGCTTTCCTTCCTGCCCCGGGGTGGGGTGGAAGGGGGGGTGTTAGTTTTTTAAAACAAAACAAAGCTGCGGAGTGGAAGGAGGCTGTTTGCGTCCCACAGTGCCCCGCGGCTTGGCAGCCGCCGCGCCGGGGCCGTGGGCCAGACCCCGCCTTCGGCAGCGAGGCTGTGTGGCACAGGCGTCCCGGGGGACCCCGGGTCCCCAGCCTGGCCCGCCAGGGTGCCGGGGCCACTGTCACCATCCCTGTCCATGTCCCCGGCTCGTATCGCCAGGCCCCAGGGTTCTCACCGCCCCTGGGGACGTGGTATGCGTGGGGGTCCCCAGGGCTGCAGGGTGCCCCCCCCCCCACACCCCCCCCAGGAAAGGGGTACATGCGTGGGGGAGCATGGGGGAGGAAAAGCAGCTCAGGACAGGGAGGGAGGAAAAGGAGAATTCAGCTGCAAATGCAAAGGGAGAGAAAGACTGAGCAAAAGAATGTGGTAAAGGAGAGTAGAGACACCCCCCCCCCCCCCAGGCAGGGAGACCAGCACTGGTTGGGTGGTGGCATGGTCACCCCCCCCTGCATGCAGCACCCAAAGGTGCCTCTGGTTGCAGGGAGGGACACCCCCCCCCCCAGGTGCAGGGATGGGGAAGGGGGTGCAATGAGACCAGGGGACCCGAGCACCCCAAATACCCCCCCGAACCTCTCCCCATTGCAGCGCCGGGGGGGCTGTGCCCAGGCTGCCCCAGCCGCCCTCCCAGCACGGCTCTGGTGCTGGGGCGGCTTCCTGGCATCGGGCTGTTGCTTTTTGAAAGTTGGACCCTGGATTTTTTGCTGCGGTCCCTCTCCCCACCCCGCTACTGGTCGCCTGTAGCAGTGACTCATCGGCGCTGGGAGCGGAGATTAATCATTCATAAAGCGCGCACGCACACGCACGTGTGTGTGTGTGTGTGTGTGTGTGTTTGTGCGCATGTGTTTGCGTGTGTTGCTCTGGTTGCTGTGTGAGTCATTCCCAAGCCTGCCTGCGGCTCAGCTGCACTTCAATTAGCTGGGAAGGGATTCGAGCTGGATTGCGGCGCGGGCGGGATGAGCGGGGCTGTCCATGGCTCGGGAAGCAGCACTATGGCCGTGCCTTCGGCCTCGCGTCTCGCCAGCCCCGGACCCGAAGGCAGCATCCTCTCACCAGCATCCCCAGCTGCGGGGCGCAGCTCCTTTTTCCAGCTTTCCTCACCGAAGAGCCCAATTTTGCAAGCAAGAACTCACAGTGGAGGAAGCTGGAGCCCCCAGGACCACCACCCGCCGAGGTCCTGGCTCAGCCCCTCATTTCTGGGATGCAGAAGAGTTGCTTCTCCACTCACCTTGCCGTTCCCAGTTCTCCCTCTCCTGTGCAGGAGGGATTGGCTTCCTAGTGCAAAGCACTGGGCGGGAGGGGGCGAAGTCCAAGGAGGGGACATCCCCCCCCGTGGTAGCACTGGGGGGTGCCAGGAAGCGTGTGGCAGATCTGGAAGTCACGAGCTGCCAAGTCTCGGCACCCTGCACCCTGCTCCAAGCTGGCCAGCAGCTGGGAGGACTGGGAATCACCCATGCCGGGAACTGGAGATGCTGGAAGAACGGTTGAGCGCTGGTGGGACTGCGAATGGCTGGCAGTGGGACGTGGGTGACTGGGAAACAGCTGGGGCAGGAAACTGGGGCAGGGGAAACTGGACTCAACTGGCGCTCAGAATTGGGGGAGTTACAGACTGAGCACAGCTGGCATGGGAAATTGGGAGAAAGGATAAAACTGGGCACAGCTTGTACTGGGGAGAGCTGGGAAATAGGGACAGCCCGTGATAAGAAACTGGGCAAAGCTAGTTCTGGGGAACCTGGGGGGTGTCGTCTGGTGCTCCCCTGGGTGCCCCAGGGCTCTCTGTCCGTGATGCCTCGGGGTTCTGGGGTACCCTAGACTTTTGGGTGACCCGGGACTCTGTATTTGCGTTCCCAGAGTGCAGAGTTTGGGGTGCTCCGGGGTCCTGTGCAGCCTGGGGCTCCTGCATTGGGGTTTTGTCAGGACAACCCCCCCCCCCCCTCCCCCGGGGTCAGCTGCTGAGATGTCAGCTACCCTGTCCTGTGGGGCAGGGATGTCCTGAGGGTGCCCAGCCCGGGGGTCCTGGGGGTGCCTGGCTGCACCCCATTGCTGCAGCCCCTCTCAGGGTGCACTTTGCCTTTGTCAAGACCCCCCCAAGGTGAAAGCCAGCCTCAGCTGGGGGAATTGCCCAAGCAAAGGCCGGGTACGGGGTGTTTGCAAGGGGGTCACCTTGGGCTGCGCACCCCACAGCCGCCCTTCACAAGGCCCCTTTTCCCAGGGATGCTTTTCCAGCTTTTCCCAAGCAAGGGCCTTGACTGATGCAAGTGAGTTGTCTCCACCCAGATTTCGGGTAACTCCACCCGCCTCCTCCTCCCAGCTCCTCCTCCCAGTGCTCAGCCCAGCTGGGATATAAGCAAGTCACTCAGACAAGCAGGAGCAGCCGAGACAGCTGGGTGGGTGGCGTGGGACGCCGAGCTGTGACCTGTGCCGTGTCCTTCGCCTCGACGCCGGACCCCATGGCGACGCCTTCGCAGAAGAGGAGCACCCGCAGCGGGGCTTCGGGGACCCCCTTGTCCCCCACCCGCATCACCCGCTTGCAGGAGAAGGAGGACCTGCAGGAGCTCAACGACCGCTTGGCCGTCTACATCGACAAGGTGCGATCGCTGGAGCTGGAGAACGCCGGCTTGCGGCTCCGCATCACCGAGTCGGAGGAGGTGGTGAGCCGCGAGGTCTCGGGCATCAAGGCTGCCTACGAGTCGGAGCTGGCAGATGCCCGTAAGACCTTGGATTCGGTGGCCAAGGAGAGAGCTCGGCTGCAGCTGGAGCTCAGCAAAGTCCGGGAGGAACACAAGGAGCTGAAAGCCCGGTGAGTGCCCTGGGGATTGGGGCGGGGGGGGGGACGGGGGGGGGGGGAGACCGTGGCGGGACGGTCACTGTCGTCATGCTTGGCGGGGAGCCGGGAGGGAGGAAGGAGCAACCTGGAGGAGGCAGAGGGGAAACCCGTGACCCAGCTGGGGCAGGAGTGTCCGTGGCAGGGACCGAGAGAGGAGGGAAGCTCTCCCGGCATTCCTGCTCTCCCTCCAAGCGCCATCTTTGGCCGGGATGCCCTTGGCCGGGGCGGGGGGGTGGTGGGGGGGGGATCGGGGAGCAGAGCTGCCAAAACGTGGGGCGTGGGGCTGAGCGGGCATGTCCCGGGCTCCCGGGGAGGGTCCGGGCGACGCGGGGCATGAGCGCCGGGCTGGCGGCCCCTCCGCCTCGTCATCCTGGAGCTATTCCTAAACACGCTCCAGCGCAGACCGGGGAGCGGTGCCAGCCAGCTGGCTCTGTCCTGCCCACAGATCTCGCCTGCTCGTCCTATTTTCCTCTGCTGTCTTTGGCACCCGTTAAAGAACCTGCTTGGGTTCTGCTCGCCTTAACCCTCCCTGTGCCGAGCTGTTCCCGCTCTCCGGGATCCCCTGCTTTGGGGCCAGCAATGCTCAGACGACGCCTTCATCCCTCTCCCGTCGGCTGGCTCTGGGTGATGCGCTCTAGGTCTGCGTTGAGGTTCAAATCCCCCCCCAGCCCCTCCCTGTCAGGTTTATACTTTTCCTTTCCTGGCATGCCCACCTCGTTGCCACCTCCCTGGTGCTGCTGGGTGCCTCTGCCCTCCCCTCCTCAGGACTGGGGCAGATGCCCGGCGCAGGTCCCCTGAGGACACGGGGTCCCTGGCCGGTGTCACACCGCTGGGACGGGCGGCTGGGCTTCCCCGGGGCTCTGCCAGCCCGTGCAGCCTTGGGACCGCAGCCCTGCCATGCTCAGCTCCCCGAGTCCCGCTCCACGGAAGGAGCGAGCGGGTCCCTTCCCGTCATCAGCTTTGGCTCGGGGCAGGATCCGGGCTGGGCAGTGGCAGGACAACCCCCTCTTCCTCCACTTGATCTTTTGCCTCTTATTCTGGACACCTTGTTTTGAGTCAGTACCATATGAGGCTAAAATTAACTTCCTCAGAAAATGCCATAAATATTCTACCTACTGGGAAGGGAGTGAATGTGCAGCCTTTTACAGCTGTCTTTGAAAGCCGTGCAGTGTTTTATATTTAGCTTTCTATTTCCCGTGCGCGGCTGCGGCTCTGTCCTTAGATAAGGCGGTTTTGCTTGTCCTGCTCTCTGCAAGACAGATCGCTGCTCGCCAGATCCCTTGGATCTGGGAGCTGGCAGAATGAGGAGCTGAGCTGTCTAAAGGCTTCTGCTGCCTTGTGCAAACCCAGAACTATCTATCTTGGCCATGATCTTTCAAGGGCTGGAAAAAATGCCCGGCCCGCAGCCGTCCCTGGCTGTGAGCTGCGTGCTCAGCCCAGAGCTGGCTGTGCTGCAGAACGATCCCTTGCAAAAAATATGTGTTAAGCTTTTTCCTGCTCCTGGAGCTTGCTGTGCTTGTTCCCTAGCGCTGACAGATCGCCCTGAAGAAGTGCTTTGACTCAAGGGGAATCCCACAAAGCAGGTCTCGGTTGGGAGGTGGGTTTCAGTGGGGTTTCAGACTGCCGTTTTCTGAGAACGGGTGGCGAGCACGGTTTCTGAAGGAGAGAGGTGTTTCAATGTGTTGAGTCGTCTCTGAGTCATGGTTTGTGAGATGGAAGAGCGGCTTTGCCGGGGAAAGCCGATGCTCTTCATTCCTGCCTCTGGTGTGTCCCCACTTCCTTTGGCAGCGGTATTGGGGCCGCTTTCCAACCCCCAAAATCCTTACAAAGGGGCTGCAGCTCATCTCGTGTCCCTGGGGACCTTCTCGATGTGGCAGAGTTGCTCAGAGAAGGGCACAAACCAGCTGCCCAGCCGCGATGTCGCTCATAGGGCTCAGTTTGGCCAGGGCACCCCGAATCTTTCGGGCATGGGGGAACGGGACGACCACCCTGCGGAGGGGTCGGAGCCATTCGGGGGGTCAGGAGGGCCCCGTGTGCCACTTTGGTGGTGGAGCAGCCGGTGTGGGTGTTTGCTCCACTCTCCACCATCCGACTGGGCAGGGAGGTACCGGTCCTGCCGGCTCTGCCTGCCCACCCCGAGCCCCCGGGTCAGCACCTCGTCCCCGGGTGGTTTCGCTGACCTCGGTGCGGTGACAATTTGCTCGGCTAATAAATAACTGGGCAGCCCTCTGCTCCCCTCGGCAGCCCCCGGGGAAGCGGTGGGTATCTCCCGTGGGGCAGGCGGCTCCGGGGCCGCGTTATCAGCACCGGCAGCATCGCTGCGGCCCGCGGCCGGGGTTGTCTCGCCTGTGCAGAAGGGAGGGAGGGGGTGGCTGGGGGTGTCGGGGTACGGCGTGTCTGCTTGCGGGCACGGTGCCCGGCGCTGGGCCCACCCCAGGACCCGGGGTGCCCCATCTGGGGTGGGGGAAGAGGTGCTGGATAGAGGGGGAGAGGGTGTGCGAACAGGAGACCAGTCTCCCCAGCTGCTGACGCACTGGTGCGAGAGCTGTGGGGGTGGAAGAAGGTTTGGCCAGCCTGGGGCACAGCTGGGTCGAGAGGTGCAGGCAGCCGCCCGCCCCGTGCCCCCTGTCACCCCTCTATTCCTGGCTGCTCTTCCCTTGGGGCTGGACCCTTCCCGCTGCCTGTTCGGCTGCTTCAGTGCTGGTCCAGGAGAGGTTCCCCAAAGCACCCACCCTGGCTCCTCGCACCAGAGGATCCTCATCCCTCTGTGGGACGAGGGCACCGCTGCCTGGCCCTACACTGGGTGTGTCCCCAGCCCCGGGGCTTCCCCGTGGGCTCCCCAGCCCTGCGTGGCCACTGGTTGTGCTGGAGCCACGTTTGAGGCGAAGCAGAGGGTGCGGTGAGGGCGGCTGGTGACTCAGGGGTGCTGGCAAGCGCCTGGTATTGTCCCCTCCCAGACCGTGGGACCAGCCCAAAATGCCCCTTCCCCAGGGAAGGGTCCCCAGGGAGGGGCAGGCGGGTGGTTTTGGGGGGCACAGGCTCCAGCACGGCACTGGGCTGCTGCGGAGAGATGCTCTGCACCCCAGTTCTGCCCAGCCGTGGGCTGGCTCCTGACTCAAAGAGGAGCCGCAGCCCTTGCCTTGCTCCACGGAGGGTTCACCTCATCCCAGATCCTCAAGGCCGGGGTGTTTGTCAGTGCAAGCCCCAGTTTGGGGGTGCAGGGGTGTATGGATATGGCCCTCGGGCACCTCCATCCCCAAGAGCAGAAGCCCCGGGGGGGTTCCCAGTGCCCCGCTCCCATGGGCAAGGGGTGGTTGTGATGTGGCCGGCTCCCTCCTCCGAAACAGGAACCAGGCCCTCGTTAGCAGTGCGGCTGATGAGTGATGGCTTCCTGAATTGCAGCCCCTAACCCAATTAAGCCTGTGCCTTGGCAGTGCCTCTTCCTTCCCCGGGCCCAGATCTCATCCCTGGCCCTAATGAGGAAAAATCTCTTGTTTTCCAAAGGTTGCTGCAGGGCTGGGGGGAGCTTTCCCAAGGGCAGAGCGAAGGAGGCAGCAGTGAGGGTGCCAGGAGGGCTGGGGTGAGCCCCACAGCCCTTCCCCATCCCAGGTGGATTTTTCCCTGGGCTGGTTCAGCAATGACCTTCTGGGAAGGAGCACATAACTGGGACACGTTTACTGAGGGGGGGAAAAAAAAAAAAAAAAAAAAAAAAAAAGGCCGCAGGGTCTGGCGCTGCCTTTCTGCTGCCTTTAGGAGCAATGTGCTTGTGCTGGAACATTTGCGTGGGGGAGAAACCTCAGGCTCCTGGGCTGTTTCCCCTCCTCTGTCTTGTAGAAACCCTGCCAGAGAAGGAATGGTTTGGCTGGGAGGAGGCTTTGCCCTTTTGGAGCAAACAAAGAACAGCTTGTGCAGCCGGGTGCTGCTTTGGGGGAGCAGGCGATGTGGAGCTGGGGCTGGTCCGGGACCCCCCATGCCCCTTGGGGACCCTCTTAAACAACGCTGCCCTGAGTCTCCAGCACTCTGGACTGATTTCTTTTCCACTGACATCCACACCCAGCAGCTCGGGGTGGTTGGACATGCCTGCCCTCCCTGCGAGGCCGAAGGGCTCTGTGGCAAAAACCCCGTTGCTTCGAGGCTGCAGCTTTTGTTAGCCCCTAGCTATTTCTCTGCGGGGGCATTTCTTGTCTGTGCAAACATCCAGCCCCCTGCCTTTTTTCCCAGCTCCCCAAGCAGGATGATCTCAGCCGGAGGAAAAGGCTCCAGCACTTTTGTTTCTTGGCTCGGCTGCGTTCGCTGGCATCTCCCAGCCACTAGCGTTACCCCATCCTGCTGCGGGGCTGGGCCATCCCCTCGCCGTGGGGTGTGTACCCAGGGATGAGGGGAACAAGAGGAAATCCTGTGGCCTTAGACGTTTTTATTATGATAGGATCCACCCTGGCAAATTAAGGACCTTATCCTCAGGGCTGGGGGATTCAAGAGGAGCCATTGCAAAGGGAAACGGGGCTGGTTTTGGTGTGGGAACACATCCATCCCCATCCAGTGCCTGGCGCAGCGCGTCCCAGCCTGCCCTGGCCACGCTTGCTGCCACAAGTGTTTTTCAGCCTCGTGTGCATCACTTCAGTTGTCTGAGTCCCATTAATGCTTAAAGGTCGGTGCCCAGATGAAGTGAGAGCCTTGCCCGGTGCGGCTCTCGGCGGAGGCACGCGAAGGGGGTGCCACGGCCGGGGTGGGGCCCACTGAGCTGCTGCCAGCTCCTTATTTTGCTAAATTCGTGCCCTTTGGGAGCAGCAGCTTCCTTCCCTGCTGCTGGCAGCCGGGGTAGGAGGAAGCTACCAGAGCTCTCCCCCATGGTCGTGGCTAAAATTAGGGCTGGCGTGGGGGAGTCCCTGGGCAGCATCAGCCCAGTGGGTGCTGGATGGGGAGAGCTGGGAATCGCGTCCCGTTGTCCTGACGCCAGCTCCGTTACACGTTTC